AGCATTGTGCGCCAATAGTGTCTTCTGTTATCTGTCGCATAAATTTTATCTTCTGTTTAGAATCTTTCTTTTGAGTGCGAACGATTGTTAATGTTGTTAATGTTCTGGGTAGCCGCGTTAATTATGGGCAAATGATCGTTATTAAGTTCATAAATTCGCATCTGCTGCAAGAGGTTACTGCGAAGAGAACAGGAATTTTGAAATTTCCCTACTAGTTTCTCATCTGTTTCATTCGTAATTACCGTAATAATACCTGATATTACCCCTAACAATGGTGATACGCTGGCGTTCGTCAAAAACAACATTTTATTCTAAGTGTACGGATGTAGTCAAGTACTGGAATTGCTGAAAAACTTAAGAGAGCATGGTTAGCAGAAATTCATCCCATTCATGAATTCTGTTTTAGAATATACTTGCGGGTGTCTAGTCTATTGGTTTCGTTTCGTGAATCCGAAGTACGAACGTTAGTATTTTGCGCAGATCAAAAAGCTGGCTTTCACTGATTAGGATCTCACAGATCACTAGTAATAGAAATACATAATCATCATTGGCGTTTGATTAGCAGTAGGACCATTCCGCAACTGTTTTGTAGCCTTTAGTGTCGAAAATGATAAATTGGTCAAATTGACTTTTATACCATTGCTAAGAGCAATACCAGAATTTGCCGAATAGCCAAAGCTTCATGGTCAAGCTTATTTCTATATAAATACATATACCCTAAAATATCTGGCAAATGATCGCTTCACATGGGACTAGAAGACTTTCTTCAAATTCTTTTATAACAAAGTTTATGCAGATCCACTGATGCGGCTGTTCAGGACAATTAGTGTTAGCGTGATGTAACAATAAAAGGAACAGTGGACTCTGTTACTTGAACAGTTCAGAACTGACAGCTTGAACGGAACAATGATTTTGTATGTTGTTCTGTGGAGCAGTTGTCTAGTTGCAATTGTGTCTCAGATTAATATAAACTGTTATCTTCTTCTGCCACCAAAGTAGTATAAAATTCGCCACGCATAATTGACTTAGTTTCTAGGAATAGGATATTTTGTTCTTCCGTATTTGGTGCATGCGCAAGCTGCCCTTGTTCATGCATGCGAGTGGAATGCAAGTGCGATCGAAGCGTTGAGGTTGAATTTGGCGTTGAACAAGGTGCAGGATAAATGCATCATTCATGAGGGAGACTGTCGTGAGGTCAGTTTTGTTCTATTTGAAAAAGATGCACGGGTAATATTATTTTTAGGTGTGTCCAGCTCAAATTGCCGACCGGGTCAACATGGGAATTTTGCCATCAAGTAAAGCGTACCTTCCAACGGCATGTCGTGCTCTTAAGCCAAGAGGTGGTTTCATTCACATTCATGAAAATGTGACATCTAGTAGGTTAAAGAAGGAAGGCCAGTCTCACATGTCTCTTGCTGATTCTTCGAAGCTTAAGAATAATGTCGAAAGAGATGCGGTGTTGTCGGAGATGGAAGACGGTAGTTCACTTTTGCTGATGAAGGATTTCTTTGTGAAATGGAACAATATCGATTCTAACTGGCGAAAATTTGCAACAGACTGTGGAAATTCAGTACTCAGGTGTCTGAAAGTGAATTACAACGGTCCATGGAATGTTGCCATTGTCAGTTTATACAGAGTGAAATCTTATGCTCCAAGAATCGACCACTTGGTGTTAGATCTTAAGTGTTTTCCTGTTCAGGATTTTTCTTTTCCAGTGATGAACCAATAGTTTTCAATGCCACTATGAATGATATGCGTGAACTGGCTGTTTTTGGCCTTCGAGCAAAGACGATATAACAGTTGAAGAAGACTGAAAAAGACTCCATTCCGTCTTGACAGTTTTCCATTCAGTAATCACAACTATTATAAATGTAGAAACTTTTGTATGCCTTAATAAACTGTTTCTTCACTGCAGTGTTGTTGCTGTTACTCTCTATAGGCCATTGTCGCTAGAACATGTTTGTTTGTCCAGAAGATGGCCAATATAATTACACTGAAACATCGGCAATTAAAATAAACTTTATCAACTACCTGTTTCTTTATAACCACTGAACTTGCAGTGTTATTTTTTTCACTCAGCAATCGGCGACGAATCTCATTGGCCGCAATAAGTCTGCCATTACTCACGGTTTCAAGCCTTATCTCTCCAAATGCGACCCTCCCGACTTTTGTAATAGGCTTTTTACCGTCGTGGTGAGCGACCAAACGACCTGCTGTGCCCGCGAGGTTACCAGTCGATGACGATCGTGGCCGATCATTTCCCGTCTCTGAGCTAGCTACTTGTCTGACACATCGTAACTTTTCCGTACTGCTTTCGCCGACGACGTCATTCACTCCCATCCACTGTCTAATCACATTGCTTGGGATGTCGTGGCGATGTGAGATTCCCGGCACTGTTCTTTCCATAGCTGTCTTGGTGAGAGGCAGCTGACGCTCTTAAGCTTTCTTCAGTGTTTGCATCTCGCATCCACACAGCATTTCAAGC